TTATTGCACCATGTTTTACCCGATTTTTTCTTCGGGAACATGGTGCAAAAAGGTGAAATGTTTAATGTGTAATGAGTATGTAGCAGTATGGCGAGAGTCCGTATGAACCAGGAAAATTCCAAAAGTTGATTAGATCATGTTCTCGAAGAAAAGTCCGAGTAAAACATGGTGTAATCGACTGCCACTTAGTTGCTGAAAAGTAGGAAAATATTGCGATTTTCTTGGATTCTAAATCTAAAATTTTTTTGGCAGCGGATGCGACTTGCTAATGGGAAGTTGTGAAAGCGGTTGGAGGGACAAAAAAAGGCTTTTTTTGTATAGTTTCATGCAAGATGTCGAATGAAATTGAAACTAAAGTTTCAGAGTTTTTCACACATTCAAAAATTAAATTTTAAATTTTTTGAAATTTTGAGTAAAATGAGAATATATCTAAAAGTGTATGTTTCCGCTGGCTGAAAGTGTGAAATTCGGAATGAGCACAAAATACTGCGCAAGACAGTATGCTTTATTAATAGGGTACGAGAAACTCTAATAGTCCAAAAGTGAAACATGCCGAAAGTTGGACTGCTCATTCTATAGAAGATATTTTATCAATATAAATACAAAGAGAATACTTTCATTACCCAAGTCAACGTTCGCGCCCCATTCTTGGCGAGATCGCTATGTCGCTACCGCGATCGCTATGAATTCGAATCTGTCGCGGTGCGATCGCTATAAACTCGCGAAGTCGCGACGCGATCGCTGTGATCTCTTACACCCGCGGCGGGATCTTGATAGATTCTTACTTATGGAGAAAATTAATTTATAAGAATCGCGTCGCGATCGCTATAATGTCGTGAAATCGCGGCGCGATCTTGATCAATTCTTATTTTCAAGAACCCAAGTCAACTTTCGAATTTTCAATTTTCAATTTTCAAAAACCAAGTCAATATTTGTTAGCGCGATCACTATCTTATCGCTGTATCGCGGTACGATTCGCGATATGCTGAGTCGAGCCGAGACAATCGCAGATATATAAACAGTAGTATTTGAAGAGAAAAAGTGAGAAAAAGAAAGAACAGACCGCCTGTATGTCTGTTGTGCTCATGGTTACGTTGTTCTCTTCTTTTGTCGTTAATCTGTCGTATACACGTGTGTATGCTTCCTTTTATTTTAATAGTCATTTCTTTTTTGTTATCGCAGTGTTAAGATCACTTTATCGTGTTGTCTATTGCAGCCATACACTGTTTTCAATTTTTTGTTTTGACATATAAATTTTAAATACTGAATAATATTAATCTCAAATAATATGTAACTAAAATTGTGGTAAGTATACAGCAATTTCAGTGTATGGACGCAGAAAAAAATAAGCTCTTTCGTTTTCACTACATTTGTTACAGAGTTGAGCCGTTTTTCTCCTATTATTTGAAAGTCAAAAACTGAGTTACCTCTGTCAGAAAATGCGCAAAATCTAAGAGATTCGCCTATATAGGTTCAATTAGCATGTGGGCCGTGTTAAAAGATCTCAAAATAAATGCACTAACGTGAAAAATCCACCAATGGTTGATTATCGTCTCTATATGAGTTTCCTCGGTGTAATATCGCTTTGTTGTTGGGGGCTTACAGGATGTAGCGAAGATCAGTTCGGCCCTGTTTGACGCACAGAGGATAGCGGCATAGTTCCAGAACACCTCATTGACAGGATGCTAGATTAGTTCTCGGCTCTAGCAACGAACTGTTCATAGCGTTAGTATTTCTCGAACACACATACTCTGTAAGTACAAGTGTGATGTTTCATCACATACAGCAAACGTTTCCTTACGGTAAAACCCATAGACGAACAATACGATATCAATCTATTTCATGTATATTTTGAGATCTAACTCTATTCGCATGGCGAACCAGAATTGAAAAATATAGATGAATACCGTTAGATCAACAGTTGATGAAGCATTCGCCTGCGAATTTGATTTTTCAAAATACTTTCTGACTTCGCCACACTTCAAAAAAACATTTAGTTCAACTTTGTAACAATAGAAAAGGTGAAAGGACTTCTTCCTGCCAGATACGAGGTCATCCACGTAATGGATGACGCTTTTACTGTTCTGAGATAACTGTGTGCTTGTTGCGTGCATCATGTTCCGCAGAGTAAGCCGGTAAAACATGGTGCACTTAAGTGCCAAACGGGATGCTGAAAAAGTATCCTTCCTCCCTGAAATACAATCATCTGATACTTTAGGCAATATCTTGATTTGTGCATCTATAGTACTGTCAAAAATTATAAGACCACCCGATATGTTGAAATTTTTGACTTTCTGGCATGTTCTGAACTGCATCCTCGAACAAACTTCAACATGAAATATATATTTCATTCCCTAAAGTTCCTTTATTTTCATTTTAAAAAAGATTGTATTAAGAAAAAGCAACTTTTCATGTGAAAAAATTAAAAGACTATTAAATGTTTTGGTTAGTGTTCTTAGCCAAAACGGTCACTTATGTTTCAAATAATCATGTACAAGCACAAGACCATAAAAGTATTCATTTGCATTGACTATAAATGGCGAATTTTAAATGGATCTTTGTGCTCGCTGGGATTTAGCCAATTTCCCAGCTATCAGTAATACCACCTACAGACCTATGCTTTGTGCCTAGCGACGTTAAAAAACAATCTGGCAGCAAGCAAAATAGCTTTGAAACTATCCTGGTAACGAAAACAATCACTGTACGAGTTCAAAGAGAAGAAAAATAGCGAATGCATTTAAAATCGCGCCGCGACATCGGGATTCACACCGCAACAAATAGCGAGTCGCGCTGACTCCAGTCGCGTAAGCAAGAATCGCGGCGCGACAATGTCAGTGTACTTAGTTCTACGCAAGCTTATATCGCGAGAATAGCAAATATACATCTCATTCAGTAGTATATCGCGACAAAATAGCGATCGCTAAAATCGCGTCTTATTTCGCGAGTCTTATAGCAATCGCGGCGCGATTTTTTAGCGCGAGTCGCGCCGCGATTTCATCGCGAAAGTTGACTTGGGTAGTGACATGAGTGACCTATTTGTTACAGGCATTTACTTCTGGAACGAGCGGTCACAGGTTCAATCCCTGTCCACGTCGTTCTTTTTTTCAATTCTTTTCTGGTCTAGGAAGTTTTTATTTTAATTCATCATTATTTTTAGAACTCTTCAGTTCTAATACTAAATAAGGGATATAACAACGAAAGAAAAGAGCGCCGTCTCTCATAAGTAAATGAGTTCTCTCTTTTTAACCGTTTCGCGTCATACTTAATTAACGACATTTTTAATGAGAGAGTTTGGCGCCGCTTTTAATATTTCTACGATCATTCTACTTTGCCGTGACCTGTTTATTTCATTTTCGGCAATTGCAGCTCATTAAATGTCGTCATTTTTTCAAATTTCACAAATTACTACAGCTACAGGAATAAAGTTACGGCTATAAAGTTCTCGCTAAACTATTCTATAAGTGATACTTTCTCACATCAAATATACGTTATTTTCATTGGACAAAAGTACACCAATAACATTTTAGAAAACAGCGCTCCAGAAATAGCATCTCTACAGCTGTTTTAAACCAATTTTGTATTAGTTGAGCTAAAAGTAAGATGGACTGCGAATGAATAACTATTTCGCATTCAATGGAATTTTAGAACAGAGTGAAAATCAGTTGACAACATGAAAAAAGTAATCGATATTTCTGACTTTTGTGATCGCGAAAATGGGGTGGGCCAAAAATATCTTTAATGCCATTTTGTAGATCTCGACGAGTACTACAAATGAAAGCAAAATAAAAGAATTCTATCTTATAGTTTTTCTGCTGTGAGACCTGAAAGTTGACTGTTTTTGAAAAGGGGTCTTCAAAGATGCGTTTCATACTCAAAGAGGAAGATACATATCGGCCGTATTCCTTTTCTATTGGATTAATCAACTCTCCGGCTTCATTTTTATGTATAGTGCAAGTACTTTTTGTTTTGGTTTGCCTATAGAAAAGGGAAAATACATGGTGATATTCGGAATCAGCGTGGTCGAATACCTACAACCCCATAGGTTTCAGCTCAATAGAGATTTCACACTTGGAGAAGTTATCTGATTAGTCAAGTTTTCTATAGTTTTACTTATCATCCTTTCTTTTTCTTTATATAGCATAAATGACTAGCTTCACTAATTAGCGATCCATGGACGTTTATAAATTCTTTTTCTGAGTATTTAAAAAGTTCAACTGCAGTTACAATGTGTTCATTCTTTATCACATAAAAAAATTCACAACTTCGGACAGCATTTTCTTTCACATACACGTCAATTCGCAGATCAGTAGTTTTAGTTTGCTGCCCATTCTTCACTCTTCATTCATAACCAGTGTGAGTCATAGTAGGCCGAACAGCACTATGTTGAAGAAGAGCCAGTACAAAAAATTTTCTTTATAATTCTACTTTTTCTCGTTTATTTTTCACGAACAAAACTTTATATCAACTAGGATGCCATAGGCGACGATTTTCTTTGTACATCCGAATGATGATCGTTCCTTGCCGGTTAATAAATAAAATACGTTATCTGTTATTGTTCTATATTTCATGTTATATTAAGATAGATATCTATCCATCTTTCTTTTTTCGTGACACGAGAATGGAAAACGAGAGAGGCCAAGAGGACGTCTGACATGGTTTATTTTCTATCTATATTAATTGTACTTATGAAGAGAAAAACACGTTTACATCCGTGTGTATGTCACCTTTCCATTAGAATCGTAGAGCGTAAATTCGTGTTTTTCTTGATGTGGCATAAACAAGCTGTGTGTCAGACATATGTGTACCTTGTCGTATGTGAGATAAAGAATTTACGGTCTATGATAGAACTCTATTCTTTATATAAGAAGGCATCAAGCAGACTGAATATAAGTTTCTTTGTTTTCTGCATATAAATAGCGGTTGTTTTTCTCAAATTTTAATTTTCAGAGGTCTAATCGATTGTTCACTATTCAACTTCAGTGATAAAATAGTAGTTTAAGATGTTTCCACGAATTCTAATTCTAATTCATTTAACAATCTGCATTAGCGGATTACCATCAATAAAAGAAATAGAAGAAATAAGTGAACAAGCATTTATTTATGGTTATCCAATTGTTGATAATTATCGTATTATGTATGCATATGCAATAGGAAATAATTCACAATACAAAGGACCGTTCAATCAAATAGTTAATATGGATCGTTTGCTTACACCAAATGATACCATTGTACAAACACCCAACGTAGATACTCTCTATTCATCTGTATGGCTTGATTTACGTTTACAACCAGTTATACTGCATGTGCCAAATGTTGAACAAAAACGTTATTATTCTGTTCAATTAGTTGATTTGTTTACATATATTTTGGGTTATATCGGAAGTCGTACAACTGGTAATGCTGGTGGAAAGTTTCTAGTTGTTGGTCCATCATGGCAACGGCAGCACAAACACGTTAAAATTAATAAAGAATTATTTGAAAAAGTATTTTATTCTGATACAGATTATGTTTTTGCTATATATCGTACACAGATATTTAACAATGATGACGATATAAAAAATGTTACTAAAATACAAGAAGAATATAAAGTTGAATTATTTCAAGAACATTTCAATGTAACAAAAAACCAAACAAAGAATATTGTCAAGTAAGACTCATTTTCGATCCTGTGTCGGTATAAAGTGTTCATAGAATCTTGAATAGGAGCAAAGCAGCCCATAAATACACACGTAGGTTGTTTCTTTTCGCCTACTCTAAGTGACCTGTAACTCAAGTACAAGAGATCTAGTAGTCAAAGAAGATTTAAACTGATAGGTAGCACGGCATACTCTCCATATTGGAAAACTGGAAAATTAGTTCTGGAAACATATTTCGGGTTTTGGAGAGGATTCCTTTCCATTTCCATCACCGCGATTGATTACATATGTCTCCATGTGCTTAACACAATCAGTGATTTATCCCTAGGCATGCCGTATCGATGCTTCATATGACTTTTTCCTACATAAAAACATGCAATTATCTGTTTTAGAATGCAAAAAAAAGTTGATTTTCCAGCATATGATTTATCCATACCAGTCATGTCACTTAAATCAAAACAATTTTTCAACTTGTTGAATTTTCTATTAAAATTTTCTTTACCAGTACATGCTAGTGAAGTAAAATTATATAAAAGATTTTCAATGATAAATGTTCGTCCTGGAATGCAATTTCCATACAACACATTTACAGTTAAACAACAACATGCTTTTGAACAAGGTATAAAAACAGCAAAAATATTAATTAATAAAACACTAAATTCAAATAATGTCTCATCAATTAATTTGTTTGGTACAAGAAAATCTTTAAAAACAAATTATTTAGAACGCACATTAGGTGCTATTGTTGGTATTTATGGCAATGAGAAGAATGAAGCAGTCTATTACAGTTACAGATATGATCAACAGCACCAACAGATTGATTGTCAACATAATAATTATACGATGACGTTTCAACGATTACCACCCGTTAAGGCATTTTGGTCTGTCACAATGTATAATGAACATCGTTTACTTGTTGAAAATTCGATTAATCGATATTCAATCAACTCTCGCATGGAAAAAAGTTTAGTTCGTGGTAATAATAATCAAAGTATAACATTGTTTATTCAACAACATTCACCCGGAAAAGAATTAGAATCAAATTGGTTACCAGCATCAAATGGGAAAGTATTAGTAGTTTTAAGACTCTATTGGCCAGAGGAAGTAGTTTTGAATGGAAATTGGACAAGACCAATGGTTGTTAAGACAAATAATTAAAATTATTTTCGTTGTACATAAAACGTGCTTTTTAATTTGAGACTGTATGATATGGTGGAATATTCATATTAAGTTTATCGAAGAGTGTATCTTCCAGCTCTTCTGGTACTGTAGTTTTAGCATTAGAGCCAGAGAAAAATCTTTCTCTTTTTTGTTAGCATTAGTCGAAGATGTGAATGTTTGATTTACTTTAAAAATAAATGTATATACAAATGTAATTGACTTTTTCATAGAATTCAGCCTCAAAAAGATATTTCTGCAACAGATTTCATAACCGAATACTCTCAGTCCTTGTCTGACTGAATTTCAACCAGAAAGAGCTAGTAAGATCGAGTTTTTGTCATTTTGTAGACAAATCTTTGCAGAACGTCTTTTTACGTGAGAGCACCTTTTAAGCATCGAAAGAAGACTATGATAACACCAGAACATAATGGAAAACGACGTATATCAGATGCAACCGTCGAAGAACTATAAGTTGTTTATTTACTCGTATAAATCTAGTAGCTTATAAAGGAATAAAAAGCTGAAATATTGAATTATGGTATTTTAAACGTATTCCTGTGTAAGGTGCCCACAATTCAAAGATCGAGTTAAAATTTTTTTTCTTGACAGATCTTACACGATTCGACGCAGTTTTCGACGCTGATTCCGAATATGTAAGATTTGTTGAGAAAAAACGCTTTCGAAAAACCGGCGGTCCGGAAAAATCGCCCTTATCCCAGAAAAGTCAACTTTTTTTCCCAGTCAGTCTAAACTGAAAATGCTTTTTTCCATTAGATTCAGCATGAAAAGTTGAACCGAAATATAGTGTTTCGAAATCGGTCGCTTACCACCGGATCGATGTATGGCCCATTTTCTAGGGGGACGTGAAAATGCGACATCTTTCGATTGCTAAGTTAATAACTTCGACTGGACAAAAGATAAAGTTTTAAATCTTACGTCATTCGAACTGTCATATGACCACGATATATACGATGTAGGCTTTTCTTTTTATTCGTTGTGCTTCCAGAGAAAATGACGTTTTTTTGAAGGGTGACACAATCCACATTTTGAGAGACCAAAATGCCTTAACGGATGGTGATTGTTGAAATGTCATTGTAAAATTATTATATTGACAATCAATCTGTTGGTGCTGTTGATCATATCTGTAACTGTAATACACTGCTTCATTCTTCTCATTACCATAAATACCAACAATAGCACCAGCTTACATCGATTCTATCTTTACGAACTGTATTCACGAACTATATTCGTGATTGATAATGCCAATGTACAAAATGGCTGTTTGACGTGTGGAACATTTTTTTGGTCACGGGATCAAGGTTTAAAATTGCTTTTTTCTTGAGTTGTGCAGTTGACGATGCACGATAGTAACCAATTTAAATTTTAAATTTAAAAATAGTACTTGTTTTATGCAAATTCGCCTAATCTACCTAATTGAAGGTTTTTAGGTAAAAGTTTGAAATCTTTGAAACTTTTAAAGAATGAGCTCCAAAAATGAAAATTTGAATTGTTGTTCAAAAATTCTACAAAAATCCAAATACATTTAGAGTAATTCTAGACGAACTTTGCTTTTTCCTTTAGAGACGATTCGCGTAATAATGACGAAGAAGACAATAAGGAAAATGATACCCGTGATGTGGAAAACGCATCGTCAAGTAGTGATAAAAACAGGAAGAAACCTTCATTACTGCCCATTAATCCGAAAATTAATCAAGATACTAAAACGGTTGTTAGTTCATGTACAAAACGAGTTCGCGATGACTCGGGGTAATTACTGCAATTACATACTCAATAGGACACTTGCGATTATATTTTCTACTTTCATTAGTGGTAGTGTTCGTGCAGTGAAGAAGAAGTCCCGTGGATTATTGGCTATTGAACGAGATTTATTGAATTATTCGATACCGAGCAGACGAAATACATGAATATTCAAATCAGCTAAATTTTATACTCGTCGATTGTGTGACTTTAGTTAAATTTTTCCTCATCTCCTTTTTTTTTTGTTTTCTTTGTTTGTATCATTGTGGCTGTTTATGAGCGTAAAATCTTCCAGGATTCTGTCATTGTCACCCAAAAACATATTCGTTTGTTTAGTAAATAACAGTTATTGAAAAAATAGACTTTGTAACATACCTTATTGCTTAAGATTTATGTTATTGTTCTGGTTTTGAGAATATTCTGCAATTTCTCACGGTGGCAGTATTATCGAGAATAACACAAAATCTGAATGAAAAGAATTAAGAACAGGAACGGAATCCGTTTAAAGGCTTTGAGCCGTTTAAGGCCCGTTGATGTACAGGATTGATTCCGATAATATACATAACTGGATCATTTGACGACCGTCGAGAATTTGAAGAGGAAAGTGTGATGGGTGTTATGTGATTATTAGTATCAAAGAACGTTACCTGCGTGAACATTCAAGTATATTTCTATCCTATCCGACTACTTTAGTTTTTGTCGAATGTTCACGTTGAAAAATTATCGCGATTTTCACCAAAAAATGAAAATCAAGTAAAATATATAATATTAAAAAGGCTGTGTTATAACGATGAAAAACGAACAAAGACCACGAAATAGATTTGGCTGGAGTTTTTTTGCAGACGAGTTGAAGAAAAATCTTTTTTGCAAGTTACTTATTAGCATAAGGACATGACTAATTCGAAAATATCTCTTCTCAGGTCTTTTCCGTTACCGAG